AAACCTGTCCGTCCTACCCCATCTCTATCTGTCCCTACTCCTTTTCTTTTTTCCTGCAATGAGGTCCTCATTACTGTTCAGCTAGACTATTATATTATTCCTTCCTACTTTCAGTCTCTCTACTCTCTAATCTGTCATTTGTAACTACTATCCTTGTGATCTTCCTGATGCATTTGCTCTGATCCTATCAATCCTCTGTTCAGAGACCTCTGCTTCCTAAATAAAATATAATATATATAATATAATAAAATGTTATTTCAGACTCCTCCATGATTTGCTTCCAAACCCATTTTCTTCCCTACTGTTTCTCTTCACATTTTGTTGCTGTTTTAGTTGTTTTTAATTATGTCCAACTCTCCATGACTCCATTTGGGGTTTTCTTGGCAAAGATACTAGAATGGCTTGCCATTTCCTTCTCTAGCTCATTTTACAGATGAGGAAAATGAGGCAAACAGAATTAAGTGGCTGCCCAGGGTCACAAAGCTAGGAAGTGTCTAAGGCCAGATTTAAACTTAGGAAGATGAATCTTTCTGACTCCAGGCCTGGCACTCTATCCACTGCACCACTAAGCTGCCCATACGCTAGCTAAATTAGACTATCTGTACATTAGTACAGATGATCTACTGATCTACCTAATCACAACCTCATGCCTTTGCTGACAACAATTCTTATGTCTGGAACAGTTGCCCTACCTTTGTCACCCTCATCACCATTTTAAAGTTCAACTTGCTTTCCAACTTTTCTAAGAAGCAATTCCTGATCCTCTCAGGATTTTGTCTTCCTCAAGTTTCTAAAATATTTTTAAACCTCTCCTTTAAACCTCCCTGATTAGACTAAGTTCATAGGGACTGTCTTTTTCATATTTATATCCTTAGCATTTAGCACCTTTGTATACTGTAGGTGCTTAATCACTTTTTATTGAATTTAGTAAGATAATGTATGTGAAAATATTTTGTAAACTGCAAAGGCCCAACAAAATAAAAGGAACCTTCATGACTTTTTAAGAAATTTATTTTGTGCCAAGACCTGTTTTCCCAATAGTTTGATAGTAATCAGTCAGAAATGTCCTATTATTTTTAACTATGGAAAACACCATTCTCATTAAGAATTTATAATACAACCTACAATGAAGAGACAGTGAAGGTTAATTTCAATGCCTGAATATGATCTATTAGTTTGAATGCCTGGAACACTCTGAACTATTTTTTACAGCATTACTATTATCTAGTCTCTAGTGGTAGGGTTTTAAAAATTTTTCTCTGTATATTTGTCAAAGCTTTCAAATGAGATGGTAACCTCCTTTGAGGGCAAGAACTACATTATTTTTGTCTTTCTATTCCCCAATACTTGCATCTAGCAAGCACTTAATAAATGTTTGTTGAATTTCAGATGAACCTGAATATTTTAAAAATATAAATCCAGAGAACAATTAGTCATTTTAACAGCTGAAATTCAGCAAATTGCTAATTATATTCTAGAAAAAGCCAGTAACTGCTCACGAACTGTACTAGAACAGATGTAGAGGTAGATATTGGTAGCTAATTATTTTTTTTTTAGCAGAAATGCCAGTTCACTCGTAGGCTAAGTCTAAAATGAACAAAATAATCACTACTGCCTATCTGAAGACTTGGCATACATATCTGGTACAAAAAAAAAGGAGTAATATAATACAGTGGTATAAGCTATCAGTGTAGTTTTAGAATCACAGCACACTCTCCTTCATACAAATAAAAGTCCATTTTGGTTCAAAGTTTCTTAGATTATTTTCACAGAAGAGAGAGGAGAAGGAATAGTACAACCAAAACATTTTTGGTTTCTTGAGTGATGGAAACATCAATAAGAGAAAAGACTCTAGTACACATGGTGCCACTTACATAATAAGCATTTAGCAGAACATAAATCTAAAACATGTAAACAAAAAAATATGATTATATATGACTTTGCATTTCTCATGTATTTTGTGCTTTACTATTTCAGCCATGTCTTACTTGCTTCTTATAGCATACAGATGACTGGAATGGGGCATGATAGCATCTTTTAAATGAAACAAGTACTATCCTCAAATATTTTCCAAAAAAAGCAGCCAAGAAGCAACTATTCTCTATAATGTGGATGTTCTATATATATTTTGGTATGTTTGAGAATACTCTAGGATTAAACTTAAATGATTTATAGAAGAATAGAACACATGAATTTTATCATTAACAGCTATCAAACATTACATATAGTACTGCTCTAAGGGGTTTACATCATAAGGCAACAACTATTCCAAAGTACAATGAGATGCTTGAGAAATAGTGAGTTTTCTATCTGTTGAAGTCTTCAAGCAGAGGCTTAGTGATATCGCAGAGAGCATTCCTGCTCAGAGATGGGATGGATCTTGAAGTTGCTTCTATCTCCTGAGATTCTGTGATGCAGTCCCTATATTTAGGTACCTAACTTTAAGCCATTTTGAGATGCAGATTTTGTGTTCTGGAAAGCAAATTATGACTTCTGAGGAAAAAACAAACCAACTACCCAAAAGGTAGTAAGACCATTATACTTCTAACTGTTAAAAAGGAAGTTATAAGGATCATTTCTCAAACTCCTAGATAAAAGACAAGATACGTCACACATTTTGTAGATAGCAGTCATGATATATAGGGATTTACTAAAAAAAAATGCATCTTCTGCTTATGTTAAATCTATATGCCTGTTTGGGTTTAATCTTGAGGATATATTACTGTCAAATACCATTGTTCTTCATGAATAGTAAGTGACAAGTTACTTTGTGGAATTTTAGGAATATCTCTATCTAAACAAAGAAGACACATTTTAATTACATTCTTTTGATCAATACTAATAATAGAAATGTAGCTGGTTATCAAGTATGTTCCAGGACACTAAAGTGAAACAAGGAGTTTTTCTAAGAAAATATCACTACCAAGTAACACCAAATGTGCAAAAGAAAAAAAAAAGAATCAATAGTGGAGAACTGAGGCAGAGGGAAGAGCTGGGTTACAAGAGGAGATTGAAGAGGCTGGACCCTTGCTCAGGCAGGAAAAGTCAGATTCCTCCAGTTGCAGTAGAGCCTAGGAAGGTTTCTATTTGCTATGACCTCTGCTTCCCAAGAAGAACAAGGGATACTCTACGGGGATCACTCTGTCCTTTCCCTTCCTCAATAAGCACCACTAATCACCCTAAAAGAACTTATGTTTTACCTTTTTATTTCTTCATTACAAATAAAAGGCTTAAAAAGGCATATTCTGAATAAGTTAATTCACAAACATTGTCAGTGAAGTAGAATCAGTCAATAAAGAAAGGAATGAGTGAGGGCTATCAGGTCCTTTCTTGTGACAGGGGAAATTAATGAAAGCCTGAAGAGTAAGTGAGTCCAGGTGTTAAGGTATTTTTATCCTTTTAATTCTTGCAGCTCCATTTTATTTAATAAAGGCTGTTTTTTTCTGATAAATTAAGCTAACTCGGCTGCTGGAAAACAGGGAAAGTTCCAAAGTTCCCCTCCCCTACACTCCTCTAAGCCGTTACATATCATCTGCTTGACTCCATGGTGTGCAGTGGTGTGTTTTCCTCACTGAAGCAACATTGCATGTTGCTAAAATAAACATATATTTCACTGAGATCAAATATTTGATATTTCATTTGGGTCATTTCAATTAGGTTGTGTTTGTTTGGTACTTTAATTTGTATCTCTCCAGACAAAGACTAACTCCTATTATTTCACAGCAGGGGAGAGTGATAAGCAAACTGTTGTTATTTACCCATTTTTAGTTATAAACCTCAAACACTTTGTTTCTATCCTATTTAAACAAATTTGAAATTACATCAAAATGTTGTTAATTTAGAGCACGTAAATGAAATTCAATTATTTGTTTAAAAGCGATATGCTTGCACTGTGGAAGACCGCTAATTGTCAAGAGAACAGCAGTAGCAGGAACTGAGGCTCTGTCTATAGTTACTGTTCACATACTGATATCTATGACTAAACAACTCTTAATACTAACAAGATCAGCCTCAACAATCATAAAGAGCCACAATTCAGTTACTTCTCATTTAAGAGCCTACCTCTGGCTAAAGCAGACATAAAGAAATAGTTAAAAACTAAAGAATGCCACATATTTTAAAAAAGAATATTTTAATAATTAAGGATGTTCTGAAGTCATAGTTGGAATCCTAAATTTAAAAAATGCCATATTAAGACATATTATTTATCAACTTAGCAATGTGTTTACTAAGACTTACCTCTAGCACTGTATTGAAACAGCATTAAACTACACCCATAATTAATGGGAAGGTTTTGGAGGCTGCCATAAAGGGCTGGCTTCAGGGAATACAGATATAAGCAATTCCTAGTGCTTTGTACTTGTGAAATAAAAAGAAAACAAAAACACCAGGAAGTAAACCTTAAGATCTAAGCAAAGAATAAGCTCTGAGGGGCCAGACAGATGCCAAGGATGATGAAAAAATGATAATCAATAGATCTGCTAGGTCCCAAGAGACAGTAATGTGGCCCCAGGGTGGACATTAACAAATCGCAGTATAGAAAAATTTTCAATTTAACCTTTATATATTTATAGAAAAATATGACAGGGTAACTTTTATTACTGAATAAATGGAAATAATGAAATTAGTCCTTTTACTTAAACAATTCAAATGTAATTCTGCATTATCTCCAATAATCTTTTAATAATCTATGGATGCAAAGAATATTTTGTTAATACTGTAATGTAATATCTAATGTTACAATATTAACAACACCGCTGAATCTTCAGGACTTAATGCATGGACACAATACAAAATGAGAAGGGGATTTCTTTGTTTCTCCATAATTAGGTCCAGATATAGGACTCCTCTCCATCAACAACAATGGCAAACTTGTGCATGGTAAAGAGAAAAATTTCCATTATAATCTGTTAAAACAAAAGCTTGTTTCTGAAAAACAAACCAGTTAATTTCTCTATTTATACTTATTCAAATGACAAAAGTAGCAAATCTATACTTACATGCTTAAAACAGGTCACTGGAGCAGCTATAAAGCTATTGCTGTTGATGTAATTACCCCAGCTGAAGCCTTCCAACGAGACTGCTGCGAAAAGAGTAAAGTTAAATTAAAAAATCAAAACCTTAAATGCTTTAAGTTCCAGTAAAAGTCCACTAAAAGGAAATATGAAATGACATCAAAGCTGTTAGTTGTTAATTTAGAATAAGTGCAAATTAACTACTCCAAAAAGGTTACAGATGTTCCTAAGAAAGCCAGTCAGTGCCATCCCACATGTGAGAGCAGTAATGACACCTGCTCGCTTCTCTGCACTGGAACTTAGGTGGTGGGTACAGAATTGCTGAACGGAAACATGCTCTGGAAGGCAAGGTGGCTCTCCTTGCTTTCTCCTCTTGCACCCAGTCTCAGGCAAGTGCCATCGTGTGAAGAATCGGAACCAGGAGTCAGGAAGGTGAGCTCAAATCCAGCCTCAGACACTTAGTAGCTGTGTGATCCTGTGAAAGTCATTTAACCTCTGTCTGTCCCAGTTTCCTTACCTGTGGAATGGGAATAACAGCACCTATGTCCCAGGGTTGTTATGAGGATCAAATGAGATAATGGTTGTAAAGTGCTTAGCATACTGCCCAGCACACAGTAAGTACTATATAAATGCTAGTTATTATCATTATCTCTAACCTTTTGTCCTCCTCCCCCAAGAATCCGCCAAATGCTTTGGCTCCAGGCTTTCTTCTACACTGCAGCCCTTTAGGAGACTAGCATAAAAATATAGTTAGGATTCTAAAGAAAACTTCTGTTATGATGATGTTGCTAGCTCAGTTAGGTTCCTCCCACATCAGGTCCAGGCAACCCTAGTTCAGCCTCCATCAAATCCGATCACCAGCTATTACCACATTACCTGACTTTGTCTTGGCCTGGCTCTGTAGGGTGGCTTGGTACTGGGCATAAGCCGCTAGCTTCGCCACCAAAGGCTGCTTCTGAAGAACTTTTGCTTTCTTAGTGGGAGGTTTACCCTGAAACAAGAAGAGTTAAGTAAACAAAGGGACCTTTTTTATTTATCCCCTGAAAAATGACTAAGTTGCTATTTAAACTTTGATGTTTTAGAAAATTATAAACTAGGGAAGCATAAGGAAAATTCAAGATGGGAAGCTGTTAGGACACAGAAATACATAGATGTCAGAATGCCACAGCAATATGCAGGTTAAAATATTTATTCACTAAGTGTTACATATACACACAGTTAAAACATCAGTCTGTGGCAAAGCCTCAAATCCTTCCTATAGGAGATACAGTCACTCTTGGGAGTGACACCTTTGTATGACAGGGCAAGACAATTTAGTGCTCAGAGGCTGGAAGACAAGAACTGTGATGCCTCTTGTATGAAGATAAAGGAACAAAGACAAGTCTAGTCATGTGTAAAATTCAGAACATGACAAATTGCCAGCCAATGAGATGTAGACTAGTTTCTTTGGGCAGTTGATGGAAGCAACTAACAAATAACCATGTGATATATTTCCTGAAATTTGGGGGCTGAAATAACAGTGCCACTGCAAAGAAAGAGGGGAAATTATTGTATTTACCAGTTAAGTGGAGTAAAGAAATGGTTAAGATGTACTCAGTAGATAAAACCTAATATGTAAATAACCAAGTAAGGACTGTGAAAAGTTAAACTATGAACTCAAATGACAATTTGGTCAATAAGTACTTAAGAGATCCTGTATTTTAAGAAGGTTAATTTTCTCCTCAAACTTGGAAGAATTTAGTAATGCAGTTTCAATTTGACAAATGCAAGCAATATTGGAAAGCAAAGGTAATGGCAAAATAAAACTGGCAGATAATCATAAAAAGTAGCCTCTCCCCTCAAAATATGCAAAAATTTTATTTTTATCTTATACTAAAAATAAACTGATTCAAGTGCTACATGAGAAAAATTACCTAGTCATTTTCAATATAGATTCACTTGAGAAATAGATACAAATTATTTAATTCACTCACATAAATAATAAAAAATATTTTAAGGCAGAACAGAGATATTTCTTAAGGAAGTTTACAGGATTTTTAACAAAATCACTTCATTATGAAATAGGATATAAAATGAAAACAAGGCACTGGCCAGTTGGCAGCAGCACGACTTGGTGAATCATTATCAAGACAAAAAACAGAAAATGCTATAGAAATGAAAGATTCATAAGAATAAAAAAGTTTCTGTACCGTTACCTGAAGTCTTGCCAAAATGCTTGCCTTCTTGGAGTTTGAGGAGTAACTTCTTGAACATGAAACACTGCAGAAACGCTTTGTTTTAGAATAAAAAGCATCTCGTACTCCAACCATTCCGCACATCTCACATGTGGCTAATTAACAAAAAGAAAGCTATCAGGAATATCTCACAAAAACTCAGTTTTTAACCACATAATTTAATCACAGACCTTCAAAGAATCAAGGGATATTGATCTCTTAATTTTTACTCTCCTACAGATTCCTTCTAGTGGCTATAAAAGCAATTGAAACAGATTTCACGAAGTTGAGAAAAGATACATATGATTTCATGGCCAGAACTTCAAGTTGGTTTTAGAGGCAGTTTCCTTGATAAATAATAAAAAGAACATCCAGATAACATTAAGACCAAATGTTGATAAAGATGATACTGTTTCTTCACTGGGTTTTGTTGGCTCTCCTCTCTCCTGGCTCTGTTTCTTAGCTGGACTGTCATCTTATCATGCCAGCTATTTGTGAATATACCCCAAAGCTCTAAGCACTCTTCTCTTTCTATGCTGTCTTGCTGACACCATTAGTTCCCACAAGTTTATTTATTATGTAGATAATTCACAGCTCTATATAATTAGTCCCAGTCTCTCTTTCAAGCTCCAGCCCCAGATCACCAATTGCCTAATAGACATTTCAAACTAGATGTCTTATTGACATCTTAAACTAAGCATGTGCAAAACTGAACTCATTGACTTTATCCTTCTCCCCCTAAAACCGTCCTCTTTTCCAAACATCCCTATTTCTGTTGAGGATACCATTATTCTTAGTCTTTCAGGTTTGTAACCTTGGTATTTTCATGCATTCCTCCTCCTTCCCCACAACATATGAAATGAGCTGTCAAATCCCTGCCATTTCTATCTCTGAATCACTTCAGATCCTACCCTCTCTACTCACAGACATATCATCTTATTTTAAGCCCTTGTCACCTTTTTTTTTCAATTATTTATTTTTAGTTTTTAACATTCACCTCCATAAGCTTTTTTTTTTTTTTGGTTAGGTAATTGGGGTTAAGTGACTTGCCCAGAGTCACACAGCTAGTAAGTGGTCCTCCTGACTCCAGGGCCAGTGCTCTATCCACTGCACCACCTAGCTACTGCCATAAGCTTTTGAGTTTTAAATTTTCTCCCCCTCCCTGTCTGCCTCTGTCCCCAAGATGGCATGCAATTTGACACAGGCTCTACGTATACATTCCTAGTAAGCTTACTTTCACATTAGTCATGTTGTAAAGAAGAATTAAAATCAACAGGAGGAACCACAAGAAAGAAGAAACAAAACAAAACGGGGGGAAAAAAAAGAGCAAACAGTATGAGCAAATAGTATGCTTTGATCTGCATTCCCTCATCACTTTTTGCCTGGTTATCATAATAGCTTCCTAATTGGTTTCACTGACTCAAGTCTGTCCCTACTCAATCCATCCTTCACATAGTTGCCAAAGTGATTTTTATTAAGCCCTAAACCCACTGACCATGTCAATGCTCTACTTCAATAAATTCCAGCAGCTCTTTATAGGCTCTAGCATCGAACATACATCTGTTCGGCTTTTAAAGCCTTTCACAACTTGGCTCCAACCTATCTTGTTTCATTACGCATTACTCTTCTTGTATCCCAGGGTCCAGCTAAACTGGCCTTCTCTCTGTTTCTCACACAGAGCCCTCTATTTGCTGTCTCTGCCTTTGCACTGGCTATCCTTAATATCCAGAACGCACTTTCTCCATGCCTCTGCCTCACAGAATTCATCACTTCCTTCAAGATACAGCTCAAGCAACAACTTCTACAAGATGTCTGATCCCAACTGCTAATGCTCTCTCAAACTACCTTATAATTATTTTGTATTTAACCTGTCACATGTCCCAAACTATTTAACTAGATCAGAAGAAAAGTTCTCAAGTTCAATTTCTCAGTGATTCTGGCCTAACTCCCATTGATCAATGGGGTCCAACATTCCAACATTAATAGCAAGGAAGGCAGCAGTTTCAGACTGTGGTAGTACTAAGTGTGAGTATGTGTGTGTATGTGTCTTTCTGTTTCTATACACAGGGGAAAGGAACAGAACCTGTGATTTCACTGATATAGAAAACTCCTTGGACGAGGAAACTCCCTCTACCAATGCAAGTTGGTATCTTTTCTGCAACTGAGACTCTTAGAGAACCGTCTAGAGCTCTGAGAAATTAATTATTTGCCTGGCATCACACAGCCAGTATGTGTCACAGGCAGGATCTGAACCCAGGTTTTCCTGGCTTCAAGGCCAGTTCTCCAGCCACTGCCATTCTGTGCCACATCACTCTTCCTTCTTCTCATACACACGTATCCTAAATATAATCACACATACATGCACACACATGCACGTGCACGTGCACACGATCTGGCAGAAGAGATGGATGGTCCATCTCAGAGGCTGGTGACGAGGAAACCCTGGAGAGCACAGACTTTGTGTTGTTGCATCTGTGAGTGCTGGCATCCCACCAGGATAAATCTGAGATTATAACTGTGGGTGTGGTATAAGGATATGAATTCTGATTTCCAGGTATTGAAGGTAGCAGTAATATCTTAGTGATGGCTGGGAAGTTCCACTTGCCATTTTCCTTTCTGGTCATCTTTGCCAATCTCATGGGCATGATATAGAAACTCAGAATTGTTTTAATTTTCATCTCTCTTATTATTAGTGCTTTGGAGAATTTTTTCACATAGCTACTGACAGTCTGGATTTCATCCTTTGAGAGTTGTTCATATCATTCAACCATTTATCTATTAGTGAATGGCTCTTCTTATGTATTTGCATCATTTCCCTACATATCATGGATATCAGACTTTTATCAGAGACACTTGCTACAAATGTTTCTCCTCAGTTCACTATTTTCCCTTCTAATTTTAGTTGAGTTAGTTTCTTTTTTGCAAAATCTTTTGAATTTATCGGGCAGCTAGGTGGTGCAGTAGATAGAGCACTGGCCCTGAAGTCAGGAGGACCTGAGTTCAAATCCAGCCTTAGCCCAAACATTTGACACTTATTAGCTGTATGACTCTGGGCAAGTGACTTAATCTCAATTGCCTTAAAAAAAAAAAAAAAGCAAAAAACAAAACAAAATCTTCTGAATTTTTGTAATAAAAATTGCCTATTTTATCTGGTAATCCTCTCTACCTCCTTATTGTTAAAACTCATCCCCTACCTACAGTTTTGAAAGTTATCTCCTCTGTTTATATGACATTTTTATATCTAGGTCACATATACATTTAGAGCTTATTGTGGTATATGGTCCAAGTTATTGGTCTGTACCCAATTTCTGCCAAAATGCCTTTCTACTTGAAAAACTTTTGTCAGGTGGTGAGTCCTTTCCCCAGGAGCTGGGATCTTTGGGTTTACTGAATATATGCTATTAGGTTTGCTTGCTTTTGGAGGTTGTGAACCTAATCAGTTCAAGTTTTTAATCAGTTTAATCAGTTCTATTTTTTAGCCAGTTTTAGTTTTGATGATTACTGCTTTGTAGTGATTTAAGATATGGTATTATTAGGCTTCACGTTTTTGTCCCATTTATTTCTCTTGAGATTTCTGACCTTTTGCTTCACCAGCTGAATGATGCTACTTCCTCTCCCCCCTAACCCCCCATAAAGTAATCCTTTGGTAGTTTGATTGGTATAGCACTGAAGAAGTAAATTAACTTAGTATTGTCATTTTTTATTATATTGGCATGATCCAAATAGGAAGAAGCAACATCTCTCCAATTATTCTGGATTGTCTGCTTCTGTAAAGAGTCTTTCACATTTGTACTCATATAGTTCCGGTGTCTGTATTAATAGGTGTGGGCACTATAGTTATTTTAAATGGAATTCCTCTATCTCTTCCTGCTGGATTAGCAATATACTGAAAAGCTGATGATTTTTGCATGTTTATTTTATACCCTGATACTCTGGCTGCTGACACTACTATTTCAATTAATTCTGAGTTTGACTGCTAGTGTTGTAAGTAGACCATTAATACGTAAAAAGTGATCATTTTTTTCCCTCTTTGCCTGTGCTTACTATGCTCAATTTCTTTTTCTCAATTTTACTGGTATGGCTAGCATTTTTAGCACTATCAAATAACAGTTATGATAATGGACATCCTTGCTTTACCCTTGATCTTACTGGGAAGGTCTCTTTTACAATGAATATATATACCTGAATCTTAGTTTTAAATAAATATTATTTTATCATAATAAGGAAAGATCCATTTATTCCCTATGATTTTTAGTCCTAATAACAGGAGTGGGTGTTTTATTTTGTCAAAAGCTTTCTCTGTATTTAGTAATAAAATTATGTGATTTTTGTTTTTGTTCATATGACCTATTACATTTACTTTCCCTAATATTAAAAAAACTTTTACTTTCTGGCATAATCCAACTTCGTCATAGTATATAATATTTTTAATATGCTGCTATAGGATTCTTGTTAATTTTTAAAGTCTTTATGTAGACATTCATTAGGAATTCTGGTCTATAGTCTTCTTTCTGTTTTGTCTATAAGGTATCAAGACCATATTTGTAGCACTGAAGGAATTTGATGAGTTCTTTTCCTATTTCTGGAGGAAATAGCTGATATAATATTACAATTAGTTATTCTTTGAATGTTTGATAGAATTCATTTGTAAATACAGATGGTATACGGCCTTTTCCTTTGGTGGGTGATTTATGGCTTGTTCAGTATATTTTTCTGAGAGTTAGTTCTTCTTCTTCTTCTTTTTTTTTTTTAGTGAGACAAATGGGGTTAAGTGACTTGCCCAGAGTCACACAGCTAGTGAGTTTTTATGCATCTGAGGACGGATTTGAGCTCAGGTCCTCTTGACTCTAGAGCTGGTGCTTTATCTACTGCGCCATCTAGCTGCCTCTTGAGATTTAGTTCTTTACATTCTCTGTATCTTGTTTTGCTAATCATTTATTTATTTTAAAAATATTAATTTCGTTTATCAATTTTGGAGGGCATATAAGCAGGCAAAATAGTTTCTGACTTCCTTTATATCTTTTCCGCTTATTGTAAATTCTTTTCCATTTCTGACACTGGAAATCTGATTTTCCTCTCTTCATTAATCAAACTAGATTATGGTTTATAGATTTTATTATTTTCAAAAAAAAAACAGGGGCAGCTAGGTGGCACAGTGGATAGAGCTCCGGTCTTGGAGTCAGGAGGACCTGAGTTCAAATCCAGCTTCAGACATTTAACACTTTCTAGCTGCGTGACCCTGGGCAAGTTACTTAACCCCAACTGCCTCGCCAAAAAGCAAAAAACAAAACAAACCAAACAAACAAACAAAACCAAAAAGCATAAAAACAGTTTCTAGTTACTTATCTAGTCAACTTAAAAAAAAATCAATGTTGTTAATCTCTTCTTCGATTTTTTTTCAGAGTTTATATTTTGGTATTTTTAAATCTGTTGCTTTTCCAGTTTTCTTAACTAAGAAATGTTCCATTAAACGTTCCATTTAGTTCTCTCTTTTATTGATGAAAGTGTTCAGGATAAAAAATTTCCCCTCAGGCATGTGGCCTGATACCGAGATGCTTCTGATTTGCTGGTGGCCAGTTGATAGGCATCTGAACTGTGCTGGGTGCAACAGGGAGGAGTCAAAGATAATTTATCTGGCACTCCAAATGATGTGCAGGCCACTCTATATCAGGCACAACATTCTGAGGGCCACTGGAAATGAATGGGGTAGGGACACGAGTTATATTGGGGGACAAGTCTGCAGGAGAGTTATTTACCAGGCCTGCAGCATGGCAGTCTGGTGAGTCAGGATACCTTGCTGGGACAGATATTCATCAACTGTCTTGCTAATTTTAGGGGCAGTTCAAGGTTGGATTGGAAACCCCTCTTGTCACACCAATGCAAGGTCTGTGAAGCAGACAATGGAACTCCTGGAAATGGGACCTAAACCTCAAACATAGGGGAATAGGGATTATAGCTTTGGCAAATCCCTTGATGTCATGGAGTCCTATTTTCCTTTTCCTTCTACCTCTACGGGTCCTAAAAGAGGGAGTGGGTTATATAACAGCCTAGCTCTCCACAGCATAAGCAAAGCCCTCAACAGTAGGCTCATACATTCTGTGGGTATCTGAACTCAGTACTGCTTACCTGTATAAATTTCTCTGGGTCCAGTATGAAGGCTCTTTGATACTTGGTTACAAAAAAGGAAGTGGCTAGGGACTTCTGAGGTAGTAATGGAACTGGGTCTCAGTGCAAAGGCACTGAATATTGATGGCTAGGCAAGGGCAAGGCCACCTTCCTGCCCTGAATGGCTTTAGCAATATATTCCTAAAACGGTCCATGAGGGTCAAAAGTTCCAAGTGAGCTCAGCAAGTCAACAAACATTTATTTAGCACTTAATCATATGTCAGGAATCATGCTAAGTGTGGAGGATGCAGAGAAAGGTAAAGCTGTTCCTATTACAAGAAGCTCACATTATAATAGAGGAGACAACATATAAATAACTATGTACATACAAGATATATGAAGAACAGATGGAAGAGTAATCTCAGAGAAGTCAGTAGTAGCTGGGTGGACTGGGAAAGGTCTTTTGAAGACAGTGAGAGCTGAGCTGAATCCTGAAGGAAGCCAGGGAAACTAAGAGACAGATGTGATGAGGAAAAGTATTCTACCCATGTGGGACAGCCAATGCAAAGATACAGAGTTGGGAGATAGAACGTCATCTACAAGGGACAGCAGGCAGGCCAATGTCACTGGATCCAAGAATACATGGAAGTGAATAAAGTTTAACTACTTTGTAAAAGCAGAAAGAGGTCAGGTTGTGAAGGGCTTTAAAAGCCAAACACAGCATTTTATATTTCAATGAGAGATGTGAAAGTAGAAAATAAAAAATCTGGCAACAGACTGGAAGTGGGAAGTGATGGTGAGAAGTCAAAGATGACAGCTAGTATTAAACCTGGGTGACCAAGAGAATGACAGTGCCCTTGAGAGTAATAGGAAAGGAAAAGGGGAGGATTTTGGGGGCAAGGTAATGAATTTTGTTTTGGACATTCTGAATGTGAGATGCCAATGGGACATTTACATCCAGATGTCCAAAAGACAGTTGGTAATGCAGCACAATGGTTCATCTGCTTGGAGATAACTGAACCCAGGGGAGCCGATGAGATTACCCAGTGAGATACTACAGAGGGAGAAAATGGCTCAGGAAAGAACTTTAGGGGTCATTCATGGTTAATGAGCATGACAGGGATGAGAAACCAATTAAGGAGTCTGAGAAAAAGGGCTCAGATAGATGGGAGAGAACCTGTAAAGAGTAGTGTCATGAAAACCCAAAGAAGAATGAGTAACCAGGAGGCAAATGTGATCAAGTGTCAGGTGCTGCAGAGAGCTCAAGAACGATAAGGATTGAGAAAAGGCAATTACATTTCTGGCAATTAAAGATCATTGGCAACTTTGGAGAACACAGTTTAAGTTGAATGATGAGACTAAGCTAGATTTAAGAGGGTTTAAAGAAGAGAGGATGAGAGGAACTGAGAGCACTTAATATAAATGGCTTTCTCAAGGAGTTTAGCCATGAAGAGGATCAAAGGTCAGGGATGACATGCAGTGGGGTATCAGTTTTCTCAGTCTCCTTAGTGAAGGTTTTTTTAAGGATAGGAGAGACATGCCATTTTTGTAGGTAGTAGGGAAGAAGGCAGAAGATAGGGAAAGACTGAAGTTTATAGAGTAGGAAAGACAGATTCTAGAACATGGGAGGGATGAAATCAAGCTCTTGGCTCTAGGACCCGAAAAGGCTAGAGCACTCTTTTACCAAATTCTTCTCTTCTGGGGATGCTGAAAGTGTCAGCTGACCATCTTTGGTTATGGTAGACCCTTGAATATCTGAGGTTCAGCCAGGAATCCTTATATTTGAGGACTCATTCAGCCACAGGCACTGAGGCTGAGTAACATGACTGAACAGCTGCAAAAAAATCTTTTGCCTGCTTTTTGCAGAAAATCTTATAAAGTCTTAGATGTTTCTAAATGTTGGCTGGTTTGCACTAGGAAATCTGCAATTCCTTTACAAATGATTGAAGATTTCTTAGTGGATTGAGCAGCTTCCCCAGCTGCTAACAAAGGTAGCTGGTCTTTTAATGTGAGGCTACAATCTGCCCAAAGAAGAAGGCCCTGATTCTCATCTGTACTCACTTCAGATGCTTTTTCCTTCTGAGTTGCCACCTTGGCTTGCAGTGCTGGGACAGAAAGAGCCATTCCCTCCACCTCACTCCTATTCTTTCAGGTATCTGAAGGCTTTTCACATGGAAAATGGAGGAACGCTAATTTTATGCTTGGGCTGGAGAGGGCAGAGCAGGGGTTACGAGGTGGGGGAGGGCAAGGGGCAGAATTCAACTCAATCCCAGGGAGAGCTTCTAACAACTAAAAATAGAATGAAAACTGCTCTGTGAAACAGTAATATCTTATTATAAGTGTTTCAAGAGAAGCTGAGTGATCACTGTTAAAGAAAAACATGGCAAGGGTTCCTGAACTGAGTGGAAGGCTGGATGAGATTGCCTTTTTGGTTCCTTCCAATTCTTAAGCTTTTATGATCTTATGAACTCTCAATATTTTAGAAGCTGATTATCTATCTTATAAATAACCCAGTCCTCATTCTTCCTCCTCTTTTTTCTTGCTTACTATCATTTTAACATTTTGCTATTTATCAGTGGTGCCACTATAAGATGGGCATGAAAAATAAACAGAAATTACTCAAACCCAATGATACTATTTGGAAATATAAATTCTGCGGCATATGTCTCTTCCATTAGAAAATTTTTAAAGAGGTTTAAGGGCAATAAAAGAGGAATTCTAATTTTTAAAAAGCAAACAATAAAACTGAGTAATAAAAATAAGATAGCACAAATTTTAGCACTCACCCATGCCAGATTTACCATCTGGATACGTGTAGACTTGTCCATTATTCTTAATAATCGGGAGACTAGAGGGTAAGGGAGCAACTTCTTCTTCACTTTCATCAGAGCTGGAGCTGCTACTGGTGTCCTCACTGCAGCTATCATAACCGTCAAACATCCCGAATGAATCTCGCCGCTTCCTTTCGGAATGTGTAGAATGCTCAGTCTTAAAACAGAAATAAAACATTATAGCATTACAATTAACAAGAAATTGGACAGATAAAATTAAGTATTCTTGAAGCAGAAATGGTTGTCCTGGTAAAACTAAATTTTATTTTTCATTATTACAAATGTAAAATTTTTTATTCAAAAGTAGAACCCAATTTTATCAGGCAGGAATTCTTAAGGCACGAAGATAGTGCCACTATTTAGGCCCCTTAAAAACAGTAATAGCGATCTTTCTGTGAAATTTCTTAGGGACTACTGGGTAGTTGAAAAGTAAGGACATATGATTATTCTTATTCAAATTTTGGATAGTCACTATTTCAGAGGAGTTTTAACCTTAATTCAAACTCTTTGGTCTCAAGGTTTACAATTATCTTCAACACAAGTAATGGTTAAAACTGCCCCTAGGGAAAAATTACTTCCTGTTCAAAGAAATGAGTCTACACTATATCCTAATAGGTTAATATTGTAGACTCTTCTTCCACTGCACTTGAAAAGCTATTCCCTTCTCCCAAATGAAAACACACAATTTAAAATAATCCCCCCAAACCATGAGCCATTATGTTTTCATATGCCATATTCCACTTTTTTTCTAGATTACTTTTTTGGGGGGGGTCAGTTTTCTAAAAGACAAAAATAAAACAATAGATGATTATGTCAACTATGCAGTCCTAAAGAAATCAGATGACAGGAGGAGGTTGTAAGACTTCAGAGGGACAGGTAGGCGGCGTAGTGGATAGAGCACCGGCCCTGGATTCAGGAGGACCTGATTTCAAATCTGGCCTCAGACACATAACACTTACTAGCTGTGTGACCCTGGGCAAGTCACTTAACCCCATTGCCTAGCCCCCCCCCCCCCACCCAAAGGCTTCAGAAATAAAAGATACTCTGCCTAAGGCAATGTTAGCTTTCCAGGTTGCCACATCACACGGTTCTGCTTATAACGAGCAGACAGCTTGATGAAGTTTGTGAAACATTTTCAGTCAAACTGTTCCCTGGCCACACCTCCACAATCATGTACTTGAGAAGTTGACTTTTAGAACCCAAACACAAGGTTTTGCATATTTGTCCTTATTAAATTTCAATTATTAGATTCAGTTCAATATTCTAGCTTCTAAAAGTCTATTTGGATCCATATTAATGATCCCTCCCAGGTTTGCTTCATTTGCAATCCTGATAAGAACATCACTTAAGCCTTTATCCAAGTCAATGATAAAACCGCTTACTAGCACAGCTTCTTGGGATCCAACACTGGAGAGCTGCTTCCAAGGGACAAAAACCACTCATGATTCTAATCTGCCTAACTGTACCATTACCCATCACTTAGCCTGGTGCCTGCCATACAGAAAGCTCTTTATAAATGCATTTTGATTAATCTACTTCGTATTTCCTCATCTTCATTTAGTTCATATCTCCCCATCTTTTCCACAAGACTAGCATGAGGGACTGTGCAAAAATCTTAACACACACACACACACACACACACACACACACACACACACACACGTCCTTGTTCTACCAGTCTAGAAAGCCTGTCAAAAAAGGAAATTATTTCAATTTGACATAACTGGTTTTTTTTTGAGAAATAGTTGATTGATGTTCTTAAAACAACAAAACACAGTTGCCACTTATCAATGATCAACCCTCCCTCTTAACATAGAAGTTCTGTTAAGCAAAACAAAACACACTGACCATCTGTGATGGAGTATGCTTCACTCTACAACTATAGTTGACCAACCAAGAAGCAAGAGGAATGCTTCATAGTCTTGTGACCCCCACTTCCATTTGCAGATGTTCACCAATTCTCCCTTTCATCGTGTTCTAAGATTCTGCTAGGAATACAAGTTAAGCTCCCTGGCTTATAGCATGTAAATCCCACTTCCTTCCTTCTGTGTGAAAATCAGGATGCTTGCCTTTGTTCTAACAGTGTGCATCTCTTTTACTCTCCATAATCACATCTGCCTGTTGTTTCAACATCCAAGCTTCATCTGGGCCTCGTGGCTTGAATTCAGTGTTCTCTATCTACTTAACCTGGGTATCAATTTCCTGTTAGTCATTTTTGCTCCTTACTTTCCTGTCCTTACATTCTCTCCTTGACAGAGAAAAGGGAAGCAAAACAGTGGTTGAGTAGCTGTTTTCACTGTTGCCTCTTCATCATCCATCTACCCTTGCAATGGTCCTATCCCCTTTTTGTGCCTCCTCTTTGCCGAAAAATCTAACAAAGCCCCAAACAACCACCATCCTATTTGTTGTCATTAGCCTTTTCCTGTCAGCTTCAACTTATTCTGAGATTTATAGCTAACAACATTCTTCTGAGACTGTATCTGGAAAACTAAGATGAGTTTCCTATGAATCTACAACTTTTTTTGGGGGGGGGAAGGGGGAGAGAATGAGGTAGGGAGTTGTCAGTCAAGTTAACATTGATTAAGCATCTGCTATGTTCCAGGCACTGTACTAAGTGCTGGGACCACAAAGAAAGGCCCCAAATAGTCCTTGCTATCAGGAGGGTTACAGTCTAATTAGACAATTCTTCCCTTCTTTCCTCACTGTATTTGTCTTCAGAATTTTTTTGTTCTTGAAAGCTCTCTAACCTTCCTGTACTGACCTTCCCTATAGAATATATGTCTGTGTGTATGTATATATATGTATGTATATATATATGTGTATACACACACACACACACACACACATATATATATTTAAAAAACATATTTTCCCTATAGAAGTCCATGAGATCCTACCTATCCTTTCACTAAACCCTTTGATATTTACTTCCTTAAAATCCAGGGTTCATGTTAGTCTGTGCTTCAGTTTTCTTTCCTTTTCTATGCTTAGTTCTAAAACAGAATACAGTAGTCATTTTCCTCCAAGGCTCCCTTAATTTCTATGTTATCTTAGCCTTAGTCATCTGTCTGGCAAGTCTTGGTGGTGGTCACTATAATATCTCTGATACACGAGCCAGGACAACAGCATACCTCTCTGTCAAAAAAGTTGCCTCAGTACTCCTTAGAGCAGGGGTGGGGAACCTTCAGCCTCAAGGCCATGGATGGCCTTCTAAATTCTTGGGTTAGGCCTTCTGACTGAGTCCAAGTTTTACAGAACAAATCCTTTTATTAAGGGGATTTGTTCTGTGAAGTTTGGATTCAAAGGGCTGCACTTGAGGACCTACAGGGCCATACATGGCCTTAAGCCTGTCTGTTCTCCACCCTTACCTTAGAAAAAAGGATCACATCTAACAAGTCTCCTCTGCTTCCTCCTTAGAGGGTGCAGCACCTTTCTCTTCAGGAAGATTTTCCTACATGTTGCAACTGAAAACCTGCTGTCACCTGATGAATGTGACAAAAACTTTCAAAATCATCTGTCTGTTTCAATTAACTGGAGTGGCAGTGGGTGGGTAAATGGGAAGTTATCAAGTATAATTACAGAGTCCATTATTCGATGGACACTTACACTTCTTATCATACCAAGAGTTATTATCAAGTAGTAAAACTGATTAAAAAAAACAACAACAAAACTAAATGATGTAGATGAGTAATATCCTCAAAGCTGGAGCATATATTCATTCCAATGTCCAAAACACTGGCACAATAAATCTTCTTAAATGGTCTCCAATGTCGGTTTGTTAGCCAGATTAAAAAACAAACAAACCAATAAAAATTCCAACCAAACCTAATAAGGACAGTTCCATGACTTTAGAATCCTAGTGCGTCTCACCCAGGGACAATTCACAAGCATTTCTTAAGCATCAACTAGGAGTCAGGCACCACAAGAGGTGCTAGAGACAAAAGTACGAAGAAAACAAACAATCCCTACTTTGAGAGTTTACCTTCTAATGGGAGAGACAATAGGTACATACATAAATACACAAAGAACAAACATAAAGAGAATAAATACAAAGTAGTTAGAGAAAGAACGAACTCACTCAGGGCACTTGGCTTGGAATGACTTCACTTTTTTTAGGGGTGGGGGCAGGGCAATGGGCTTAAGTGACTTGCCCAGGGTCACACAGTTAGGAAGCGTTACATTTCTGAGGCCGGATCTGAACTCAGGTCCTTCTGAATCCAGGGCCGTGGCTCCACCCAACGCACCACCTAGCTGCCCCTCACTTTTTCTAAAAAACAAATGTGTCCTCAAAGGATGAATATTTATCAATGTTGAAGATATTCAAAATCATGTGCTATAGGCTATGAAGGCAATTCCCAACTGTTCAGTCCCTAAATTGCTATTCTACTAGAACATTTTAGAGCTTCCCAAGTTACACAGGGGTGAGGAACCTGCAGCCTTGGGGCTTCATGTGGTCCTCTAGGTCCTGGGGTGCAGCTTTTTGATGGAGTCCAAGTTTTACAGAACAAATCCTTTTATTAATGGCCTTGAGGCCACCGATTCCCCACCCTGGTAGGAGACGATACTCATAAAGCCATTTTGGTATGAAAGGCACTGTGGCATAAAGGAAAGAGCGTTAAGTTCTGAACTGGATTTCCAACTTTGAATCCTAGTTCTAAATGGGATTCAGGGCTGGATTATTAGCAGTTAGATCTTTGAGCACGCCTTTTTTTAAACCATTTTGAGCTTGATGCCTTGTCCAGAAAATGGGGGTCATAATATACTTTTTCACTCACAAAGCTGTTCAATTCAGTAAATATATATAATACTTGTTTAAGATGCAGATTATAGACATGAAAAATGACAGTCCCTACCCTCAAGGAATTTATAATCTGGGGGCAGGGGAGAAGATGGGGATCTCACACACACACACACACACAAAACTACAGTATAGGCCAGAATATGGTTAAATTCAAGGGAGACAGTGCCATCAAAGATGAAAAGAGGGTGCTGATCACCCAGAACTGGGGGAATGATGGAAAGCATCAAGAAGGTTATAATCAGCTGATCCTTGAGAGAAATGAAGAATTACTCCCTCATCTCCAAAGAGGGAGATTCAAATGTATCTGAGACTTTGTGAATTTGGACTTCCCTCTAACAACAAAGATCCTCCTCCTG